TCTGGCTCTCTCTCTGGCTCTCTCTCTCTCTCTCTGGCTCTCTCTCTCTGGCTGTCTCTCTCTCTGGATCTCTCTCTGGCTCTCTCCCCCTCTCTCTCTCTCCCTCTCTCTCGCTCTGTCTATCTGTCTCTCTCCCTCTATCCCTATATCCCCCTCTGTCTCTGTTTCCCCCTCTATGTCTCCGTCGTTGTCTCTTATTGTCTCTTATTGTCTCATTCTCGTCTGTCTGTCTGTCTCTCCCTCCCTCTCTTCCTGTCTCTGTCTCCCGCTTCCTGTCTTTCTGTCTCTCCCTCTTTCTCTTTCTTTGCCCCCCCCCCTCCTCTCACTAGGTTTGTACCTGTTTTCTCCTAACCCCAACTGCTGTGTTCCACACCCATCCATCCTAGTTGTGCGCGTCCTCGTGCCTGGTGTAGAGTGTGCGGAACATACATGTATGCGTGTGATCATGTAAGATTAAATGGAAGTCACGTTCAAGTGTGTGGGGGAGGTGTGTGGATGAGCATGGTGTGTGTGTGTGTGTGTGTGTGTGTGTGTGTCAGCACAAATTGCTATGTCTAACAATAGTAACATAGCTGTTCGCTATCATCGCTCCCGCGATGGGCATGTCTGAGGTCTGAGGTCTGAGGTGTGTGTGTGTGTGTGGCGTGGTGTGTATGCTTACGTACACAGTGCTAACCACCACCCCATCAGCGGTCTACAACATGTTACCATTACCAGCGCTTGTATTACACACCTGCGACATGGCCTGTGGAGCTCGTTTTGCGCGATACTCCTGCAGGCTGTAGTGTAGTGTAGGTGAAGCCTCGAGATACTTCCGGCTGCTATGTGCATGTACAGGTACATACACGGCGACCTACATAGATTTGAAGTGCCCTATAAAATGAGAGCCTTTCTTCACTAGTCTCTTCCATTCTGCACAAGTATACAAGTGAAGTACGTGGCAACAACTTACCTCCATGATCCGGTGCTCCACTCCAGTGCGGACGTGCTTTTCGCTGCTGTCAAGCCTTAGCCCTGCTCCCCAAGGAGGCATTGCGGTCAGCCTCGTCTCCTTCATTACTTCGTCTCGTTCTTTCCGAGAGTGCTTCACTGTTAAGTATTATGGAGATAGGAGATAATATAGATATTTTGATTACACAAAATTACACTTGCGGGCGTGTCGTACTCTCATCTTCGCTCGTTGAGCACTTTCGCAAGACACCGGCAACTTACCCTGCTGTGTGTAGATATTATAATAGTATCGGTATACACTATAACCAGGGATCTACAGGGCAATTATTTACATCCAATCACTTCCTTGGGCGATGTCGAATTGGCTCTGCGAGTTCAAATGCATGTACACACGTACAGTTCCCTTTCCGCCATCACCGCCTCTCTCTCTCATGCAGCTTCACAACACATGTTCCAAGCCTCTTTTACGGGCAAAAAGCACAAACATGTCCTTGGCCTTGCCTTCACTGCGATGCACTGCCACTGCCACTACAGTGCTAGTGTTAGTGGGGTGTGCAAAGCAGGGAGTAGTGAACAGTAGTATTCTACTAATCCTTGCCCTTGCCTTGGTGTAAAGAGTAGGCTAGGCGGGCCGGGCTGAGATAAGAACGGCATTGTGCTACTGAACGCTTGGACGTGGCAAAACTGGTATCACTAAGACACTATGATCGATGCTAAACCGTTTCGAGGTGACACTCTCATGCTCGTTGACGTTACTATACTATAGCTCTAGCTCTTCTAGTACTGTAGGCTCTACTGCGTCCCTGCCCCCACGCCTGTAGCTGTGCGACTACGTAAGTCATTGGTTGGATCTGAGATAGTACTACTACTAGTACTAGTAATACTACACCTGGATCACAACTCCACGCGTTATCACTCCACCGCCATCACGCCCTAGAATAGATAAAGACACCTCAACTTCAAGTACGAGCAGCGCCATAGGCATAGCCCCCTACGTCCTACTCCCCTGCTATACTTTTGAAGTCTAACCATGCTAACTTGCTATTAAGTAATAGCCTATAGGCTAGGCCACACAACGGCATTGGTCATCTGAAGTAATTAAATCAGTCCACTGAACTAGACTGAAGGCTGTGAAGCTATCACTAGCACTTACAATAGCAGTGGTTGTACCAGTACTGACTCGCAGTAGTACTGCAGCAAGCCTGCAGCATCGAATGCATAGAGAGTATTACATCATGGAGAATGACGCCATATCGGCAAACACAATAAATGTTTGTTTGTTGGTTTTCATTTTACTTCGCACATTCAAACGGGATGACGACCAATGATGGCGAAGGCTTAGCCTAGAAGTGGCTATGAAAGTACATAGTAAGAGATCGCTATCAGGTTCTGCCTCATTTCCTCTGTGCTGCGCTGATGAGTTCACAAAGAACGAAACAGCATGCTGTCCGCAGATTGAGTAGTAAGAGATCAGGATATTTATAATAATAATTGAGAGTAAACGGGGGGGGGGGGGGGGGGAATACGATGTATCTGTAATATTACTAGGTGAGGATTACTGAACTGTACGGGGAGGGAGAGCAGAGTGACCAGCAGTAGCTCAAACTACTCCC